CCTGCTCTGAGGGCAGGATGGTGGTGGCTCTACTGGGAATGGCTCGTGTGCCCAGAGTTTGTCACGGCAGAAGAAAAACGAATGATTTTATAGACAGATGTAGGCCAGGTGTGAGAAAGGGCCAGCGGGGAGATATCTCAGTGACTTTGACCAAAAGAGACATATAAAGAAGCTGTAGAAATTAATATTAAGACTCTATATGGGGTGGACCACCACAACTAGGAACTTCGTTAAGGAACTGCAGGTGATACACCCCCCGGGAATGAGGGGATCTCCACAGAGCCCAGAAATATGCTCCAAGAAAAAGAGCCAGCATTTAATATGTGATGTGGCCAGGAGAAGATAAGAACCCCACCTCTTTTCTGTGCGAGAGGAAACCATAGCTGGAACACTGGGAGTTAAAGGCAAGAGGCAAGGTGAGAAAAGCAGGCAAGCAGCTGAGCACAGCACCCCTCCCACACCAAGGCTGAAGCCCTGGGGGAGGGAGAAGCTTTAACACTAGGAAGCTTCAGAGTTTTGACTATTACATGAAACTGTAATTAATTAATGAACAGGTCCCTGTGTTCCGCCCTTTAACGCAATGCTTCAATGATTAAAACTAAATTTGTTATTTAAAATTAGTGAAAATAACAGTATATCATACCACAGTAATGATATCATACAATTATCAGCACAAGGGAAATTCTACAGTTCTATAATAACTCAGACCTTTAAACCCTGGACTGCTACTGAATGGCACCAATACTAGGGTAGACAACATTAACTCAAGCCTCACTACTTAACTGAGAAATCAGCTTCCAGAACCAAACTGACATATAACCTAGCATACCATATTTGCTCTACCAAGTATGATCTCATACAGGCTGCCCTAAGAAATATAATTTTAAACCATTTTTTGAACAGATAAGCCTTGACTGGAATAAAGCTAAAAATTAAGAACCTTCATGCATTTTGAGGGAAGTGTAACATACCATTAAATAAAGTTGGCTTTCATTTTTCTTTTGTTTTATCCCAACATCAGATATTCATTGATTCAAAAAAACTTCCTATTTTTTATTATAAAAATAAGTAAATAAAAACAAACAAATAAGGTTTGGCAACACTACCTGTGAATATGATACTCTTGATTACAGAGATGTAGTCTTCAGGCTCCTGCTCAGTTGAGATCTCCCATCTGCCTCCAGAGATATTTAATAATTTGTAAAGATGATCTGAACTCTTCATCCCACACAGCAGAGTAACCACACTTTCTGGTGAATGCAGTACGTTTTCTAGAAACTGACATTTCTTTGAAGATAGGTTTTGAAGCAGGCTATTTGATAATATCAAAAGTTTACACTTGTAAGAGTTTAAACTTAGCAATTCCAAATCCCGAAGAGAATAGTTCTCCAAGTGATATAACAGGATTGCTTCCCTTTTCACAACATGTGAAAAAACTTCTCTCAAGTACAAAGCCCATTCTGCAGCATCTTCTTCATATATCATGATGATGTCTTTTGCATTTTCTGGAAAGGAGAAAATAATAAATTAATTTTCTTATATTTGACATGCTAACAGCAGGCTATATTATGATTTTTCAAAGAATTAAATGTACTCTTTAGGGAATATATTAATTTGCTTATACCAGAGACCAATAATATAATTCATATTATCCCCATCAGAATCCTATGGGAGTAAAGTAATCCTTCAGATGCAACACAGAGTTCATGCTCTGTGCAAGGGTACACTGTACTCACTGCACAAATGTTAATCCAGGAAGCTCAATAGAAATAAATGAGAGGCCTTGAGATAGAATGGAAAGAATATTCTGTGGGATTAGGGATGCTGGGCTACTAGGCATGGCTCTGCCAGTAACCACAAAATTTTACCTAGATTATGGTACTTAATTCCTTTCAGCCATGTTTCTTCACCAACTAAATGAAGGTTAAAAAAAAAAATAAGCCCTACCTAATGGATCGGATTATTCTGAGAAGAAATAAGACAATTTACATTGAAGGACTTTAAAATCCTTCTTCCAGGTAAAGATGGGTACATCAAGACAGAGTACATAACTCCATGCCCAGAAAACCAACAAAATAAAAATTTTTTAAAAGAAAAAAATTCAGTAGCAAAAACCAAATAAAGGGGGTATTATCTCATGCCATAAACTAAAAAGTTGTTGTTTATGAAATAAATCAGAGGTTCTGGTGAGGCAGTACTAATCCTAAACCTCCCTCACACTCTAAACCAGCACTGATGAAAAAACGTTTAAACCACCAAACCACCAGGGTGGTCATGAATCTCTTCCCCAGCTGGAAACTGATCAGGGGTGTCTGCAGAAGCAGGAAAGGCTGAATCCTCAACAAGCCAAGGCTCAAAGCTGAGTCGGTAAAGCCAGTCAAATTGCACAGGAACTCAAGAGCATCCCTGCGCACTGGAGAGGGGCCTTGCTGACAGGGTCTCATTAGAGACTACAATCCACCACCTCCAACCTGAGAGTCACACTGACAGATCTTCTTCTCCTCTTTTCTCTCAGGGCATAAAAACTGACTGGAATGTAGATTTTGTCTCTCAAACTACAGCTTGGAGGGAAAATAAAAAGTAGCAATTAGGGAGGGGAATTTTAAGGAATAATTTACCCACACAATATTAAGCAAATAGAAAGCCTACACTGAGCTAAGAGAATCATGAGCAAGATGAAAGGATTAGCAATACAAATTCAGAGTTATTGAAAGAGACAATGACAACAATATTAACAATAATAATATATATGATCATCATCATAATGAAAGTAACACAGCATGAAAAGACTAGCAGGAATCATAAGCAGGGAAGAAAAACACAAGAAAAGTCCCTCACAGTATTAAAAAACCACTGATTAAATAAAACCAAAGTTTAAAGACATATTGATTTGATATTTTTAAAAGAATCATTTGAAAGGGTATAACAAATAGATAAAAAGACAAGTTGAGAGCCAAAGCAATACCATTGCCCAGATAATAAATTAGAAAAAGCAATGACTAACTTAGACACAGATAATATTTTCATTTCTGGCCTCAAAGTAAAGCTTCATATTTTCATAGTAAACACAAAAAGGGAGAATAAAATTAAAGCAATTGGTGAAAAATCTGATATATATGGGGAAGAGCCAAAAAAGGAAAAGATTCAATATAAAGATAATCCCCAAACCTGAAGTAGAAGAGAACAAAAGATGCATTAAAAGTTTTAAAATATAATTTTTAAAATCCATAAAATATGGAAGAAAAATGAGCCAATTCTATGGAAAAATTGTCAGAGAAAACATCTTGATTAAATTTCACTTGGTTTAACGATTATTATAAAACCTCTTCATATATCTAGGAAAGAAAAGCAAGTCATTCAAGAGGAGAACAATATTAGGTTGGTAGATTTTTTCAGAGCAATTTCAAAGGCATATTATAATAAATTATAAAACAGCTCTTACAAAAATAATTTTAGAGTATATTCATACTACAGAATATTGCACAGCAATAAAAAAGAATGAACCACTGCTACAGGCAACATGGATGAATCCAAAAACATAATGTTGACTGAAAGAAGAAAAAGTATATACTGAAGGATTGTATTTATTAAAAGTTCAAAAATAGAAAAAAAAATCCATGGCGATACAGATCAGAATATTTGGGAGTGGGATTAATGAATGGAAGCAGATAAAAGGGAGCCTGCTGAGGTTCTGAAAATGTTCTATATCTTGATCTGAGTGGTTGTTACACAAAGTATACATATATAAAAATCTGTTCATCTGTATATCTTAGATTGTGCATGTAAATTACATGGCAATTAAAAAGTAAATTAAAATATCAAAAGAAAAAGGAAGTTTCAGGATGGTAGCTATTCAAGAGGCATAGGGACTTATAATAGATGAACGGAGCATTTTGGGAGGGAGATCAAAAGAAAATAAAACAACCGTAAGACTGTATCATATATTTGAAAATTTGAGAAAAAATGCTAACAGAAGTTTGACAGTTCTGACTGGACATTTTGAAAAAAATTAAAGATAGGTACATTATCATCTTTTACATGTAAAATACAAAAGAAAGAAGAAAAATTAATTGCAGAAAAACAAAGCAAAACAAAACAAAAAAGAAAGCAGGATCATTATATACTACTTGGATCAACAGTGTAAATGTGTACATAATCATTGTATGGACTGGATATTTATGTCCTCCCCAAAATCCCTTATGTTGAAATCATAACCTCCAGTGTGACGGTATTAGGAGGTGGGCCAATGGGAGGTGATGAGGTCATGAAGGTGGAGCCCTCGTGAATGGAATTAGTGCCCCTATAAAAGAGGCTCCAGAGAGGTCCCTTGCACTTCCTGCCACGTGAGGTCACAGAAAGAAGTCAGCAATCTGCAACCCAGAAGAGGGACCTCACCAGAATTTGACCTGCTGGCACCGGGACCTCAGCTTCCAGAACTGTGAGAAATAAATATTTTATTGTTTAGGCCACCAAGCCTATGGTATCCTGTTAAAGCAGCCTAAATGGACTAAGGCAATCATAATAATATAAAATATGACTAATGATTTAACTACAAGTTGAGATTTAAATATACTAGAGAATAAGGAAAGAGTCTGATAGACTAATAGATTGAAATCCTTATCCAGCATATTACAGAAAATAGGTAATAGAATTAGTAAATCAAGAAATAGTAGTATAAATGTATCTTTCAGAAACATGGAATAGAACAACAACAACAACAACAAAATTTGAAATAATGAGGTTCTTAAGGTTCCCATAGGGAAAGGAATTATGTTTGGGGAAGGGGAGAGCAGAGAACTGCTGCTTTTCATTATAGGTGTTTTATCATTGTTCAATATGCCTGTGTAACTATAATCAAAATTTAAATAAAGAAAAAAACCCAGTCAGCAAATAGAAGAACCAAAGTAAGCAAAATGAAAATGTAAAAACTTTGGAAAAAAGAACACATGGTAAGTTGAATACATATACATATGGATCAAAGACTAAGTATCAAGGGGATTATGATGGCACTACAAAATGCAAATGTTAAAAATCTTGATGAAATGAAAGTATCCGTAGAATGGGAAAACTGAGTATTTGTGGAGGAGAAAGTATAAAACACTAACATCATCTTTCATAGAATTCAGCTATTTAACACTGCCTAAATCTGAATAAAAAGTGACTCAATTCTTGTACTATTTTTTGTATCATCATTTTTCTTAAGCAATAATAAACTTGGAAAGTATTCCGAGTAAAAAAAATTTTATCTGAAAATGAACGTCCTTTGGTTTTACTTTATATTACTTTAAAATAAGTTATTTTATTTAAAAAAGAGCACATTAGAGTATTTCTCACTTTTAAATAATCCTGCCCATCTACTCAAAATACACCATAGTTCCATTGACCGTTAGCAACAGTTGTATGTGAGAGATAAAATTTTGAGAGAGGTATGATTTCTTTTTTCTTACTCTTCCATATAGCTTATATTTTTGTTGTAAAATTGTATTACTGTATAAAACAAAGTAATCATTCTTAACAATTTAGTTTGTAAGGTATTATCATGAGTACAAAGAACAAAACACCAAAACTCTTATATTCCACACTTATCTTTCTCACTCCGGATATAGAGCATGTATTTTCTATACCACTGATGTAGCAATTAACACCACAATGATTTTGAGAGCTTTTGCATTTTTACTGAATTATCTATATCTTTTCTCATGATATAAATAGTATCCCCAAGGAAGATGCTTCCTCTTTCAACTCACTGATTCCTACACAATGCCTAGCACAATTTTTTGAACAGATATTCAACAAAAATTTAAAAATAGATTTACATATACAGAATGAGAAAAAATAACTGGCAGAAAACATATGGGAATCATACACAAGTTGTGTAGGAATCATCAGCATATTTCTGCTATTCTCTATGTAGTGTTTCACCTAGCCTCAATGCTAAATAAGTAGTTATTGAACAAACACAAACATAGTGTCATAATTCAGTATTTTTATGTTTGAGGAACAGCAGAGGAAGAGTTTTCCTTATATTACATATAGCCAGAGTAAGCTGCTGTTTAGTTATAAAATAATTAGGGTAAATATAAAACTAATAATAAACTATTGAGTGCTTAAAATAAACTAGGACTCTTGTTGTTTTATACATATTATTTCACTTAATTCTCAAAATTTACCCTTTTAAGGTACTAATGTTACTCTTATTTTACAGATGGGAAAACTGAATCAGTACCGGAATTAGGACTCCAATGCAGGCAGTCTGACCCTACAGTCCGTACTTTTAACCTTTAACAGTAAAGGACACAGTAACATTATCTAAAAGATTAAAATAGATTCTTTGCAGTGATATGAACTAGATTAGTCTCTATGAAGCAGCCTATGAGTTAAGATCAAGTATGCAAAGTATGTGAAAGCTCCTCTGGTTTCCCATCAGGGAAAAAAGAGGAATCCAAGAGTGTCGTTGTCTATGAAGAACTCACAGAACTTCCTTCCTGACTCTAAAAC